CAGGGGACCACAGGCTCAGAGAGGTGCAGACCCTGGGCAAAAGTTACACAGCCAGTCAACGGCAAAGCCTATAGTGTGTCCTAACCACCATGCTCACCCCAGCTCCCTCTCCATCCCCTAGAGTCTGGCCCTTTCCAAAAAAGGAAAAAAAAAAACCTGTAATTTGAGAAGCCACTTGTCCTCCTCCTCCTTCACATCAGCAGAAGCCTTCCCCAGAGGCTGCCCAGGAGGGATGGCTTCAGAGCTGGATTCTCTGAGGTGAAAGCCCCCAGCCTCAAAGGCAGCAACCCCCCAACCATATTACTGTTTTTCATGACCCTGTCTCACTAATTATATATGTATATTTTAAGATGTAATATAATATCTATTATATGTAATATATCATAAAATTTATATATATATACACATATATATGAAAGCAAGACGGAAGTCCTACTTTAATTAGCAGCATTTCTTTCTTTTCCTTTCACGGGGAACAATTGATGGTATTTTTGATACGGTGAAACACAATGCCCTTCCCTCTCCTAGGAGGAGTCTTTAATCCTCTGGATTGTGAAATGGAGTAATTAGAACTATCTCCACTCACAAAAGAGGAAATTGAGGCTCAGGGAGGGACAAGAATGTCCCACCTTGGGTTCCAGGGCACTAGGCAAGAGATAGGTTTCACCTGGGTCCCTCTGGAGTGGATATGTGGAGGCCAGACTGGGAGAAATTATTAGCTTCTGGATGGACTGTCCTCCGTGCTAGTCACTGGACTGGGGCTCCCCTGAGACTTGGGATAAAGGGAACAGACACCTCCTGGAGCCAAGGGAAGTGGCTGACAGTGTTGTCTGAGGCTAGTTTCTACTTAGGAAGGTGTCTGCCTGTGGGGAGGTAGGGGTGGGGCTGGTGGGTTTCCAGAGAGAGGGTCTGAGAGCCCAAGGGAAGGTAAGTCCTCAAGATGAAGGCATGGGCAGCCCTGTGACCATTGCTGAAAAGCCCTCCTGCAAGCGGCATCTGCCTGGAGACAGATGACAAACAGTCCTTAGCTCCCCCAGGCAGCCCCCAGGCGAACCAAGGAGGACAGCATGGCCATGGATGGGGCTCCGAGTTGTCACAAGCTTTGAATGTGAGAATTGGTATTTCACAGATGGGAAATGTGAGGCCCAGAGAGGGGAAGGGACTTGCCAAAGGCCCTGGAGAAGGGGTGATCAGGACTTGTTTTTTCAGTATAACAACAGTGCCGGCTCGCATGGATGGAGCACCACCTATGTGCCAGGCCTGTGCTAAACACTTTATAAACTATTTTATGAGGAGGTCACTATTATTACCCCCACTTTACAGATGAAATGGATGAGGCTCAGAGAGGTTTTAAGCAATTTTTCCCAAATCACAGCATGTGTTAGAAGAACTCAGGCAGTGGAACCGCAGACTCAAGCTCCTTCCACAACCAATGGCTCTCTTAGAAGGTTTTCCAGAGCATATACGTCGTCCACTGTCTGGCACACCTGGGGAATCCTGCCTCCTCCCCGGGCACCAGGACTCCCTAGAAATCAGACATGTCCTCTGAAGCTCTCTAGCAGGAGGGGAGACACGTGTGGGCACCTTGCTACCAGGAACACACTAGAAGTGCACTCCTAGACACCCTCCAGCAGCAGGAGGAGGGCACCCCACACAGGGTCATATTGACCCCATGGATCCCCTTCCAGGGGTGAAGAACACTGGCGGGAGGAGTGGCCCCCAGAAGCCAGGCTCTGCAGGCTCCAGGTTGTGTCCCTGTTTACCCAGTTCTGGGCAAAGGTAGGTCCAGACCCCCTGGCTTCCTCTCCTTGCTGCAGACAATCTGGCATGCTCTTAAATGAGAGAGCTGAGTGTTTGTCCACTGGTATGGGGAAGAAGGAGAGAAGATGGTTGTCCACACACTCTGGGGAAAGGAGAGGGTATCTGCTGTCCCAGGTAGGGGAATGGGGCAGTAGGAGCTTCTCAACTGTAACTTTCAAAAATGGAGGGAGAGAGACAGAGGGGGAGAGGGAGGGACGGGGGAGGGGGAGAGGGAGAGAGACAGTGATAGAGAGAGAGCGACAGCCTCTAGTTCAATCAGTCTGGATGGGGACAAGGTAGGTAGGTTGGCCTTAGGTTGAAACTGGGAACGAGCTGGTCTGTTAGTCTGTGTGTCCTCCAAAACCCCGGTTCCCCGGAACGGGACAAGAAAGGACTGTTCATTTCTGCCAGGGAGAACGGGCTGCAGGTCTGAGGGCGCAGGATCCCTTCGGTGTCCAAGATGCGAAGGCAGAGAGCGGCCGTCTATGGTGGATGGGGAAGGCAGCCTTCGGTTTACCACAAAGCCATCGGTTTGCCCGCGACATGGCCGCACAGATGGTGAGGAATCGGACGGGAGGTCTGTCCAGAAAGGGCAGTTTGTAGGAGGCGGCCCGCGACGCCTGAACACGGGACCGCAGCTGGCGCACATCTGTGCGCAGAGCCTGGCAAGGCAGCTCCGCGGCTGGCAGAGTGCAGGCGTCAACTAGCGGTGGATCTCGGAACTGCTCCGCCCCGGCGGCCCGGGCGACCCCCTCGCTGGGGACCTAAGCGTCAACAACCCAGGTCCCCTGGTTCCGGCGCCCACCGGCAGTGAACGCCTTTCCTAGGGCTGGAGCCGGGCCAGGTCCTGTGCCAAGACCCACAGGAGCCCTATTTTCAGGAAACCCGTTTGTAAACCTGCCTTAGGATGAGAGGGAAAAATCACGAGGAGAGACAAGTAAGGGCACGGACGCAAACCAAAACCACTCGACAAATCGAATTTACAAACCCCAGACGCAGCGGGTCCTGGTCCCAAAGCCACATCAGGGCAGCACGGCGTCGCCCGCCCTCCCTGGCCCCAGGCCCTACCTGCCTACGACGAGGTGGGCCTTTAGGCGGGAAACTCCCAGAGGTCGGATGCGCCAAGGCCTGGGTTCCCCCACTCTCTTCTAGTTCTGCCGCTAGTGTCAGCACTCCCGAAATCGCGCGGCCCCGGGCCCCGGTGATCAGCAACTCCGACGTGTAGGCTCTCTAAAAAGGTCCAGTAAGGAACTCTAGCTGTCCCCGCTCTCTGAATGGCCTGAGGGACTGACATGGAGCTCCTACAGAGGTAGGGACCAGCAATCCAGGTGGTTGAGGTTGAGCCAGAGCCCGTCCGCCCTGGAGTGCACGCGACGCTTGATTTCGTTTGGCAACGACGAAATGGCGCGCGCTGGGCCGGGGTCAGATCCAGGGAGGGATCTTGCAGCCACCATCGGATCCTATGCTTCTTTGCTCCTGAGTCTTGGAACACGTCGTTTTGCACCTGTCGAGCGGCAGGAACAACGAATATCCAACCCGATCTCCAAAACCGCAGGGAGACTCAGCACGCATTCGTTCCCCTGACTCCAGGGAGCGCATCTGGGGCGATAATCCAGAGTAAATGGGGGCTTAATCTTTCCAGTTTCCCTCCCCGATGTAGCCTCTTCCTAGGCCCGCTCGCCCGGCCTAGGAGGCAGGAGACGAAGGGACTGTTTGTCTATTTGCCGTCGGGGAGTGTTTGGACCCAGGGCGGGAGAGCAGACAGTGCCTCGGCAGAGCTGACTGCGTCCCGGGCGGCGCGGCCAGAGCGCACTGTCTGGGAAGACATAGGCGTGGACCCATGGGGGCCAGTTTGCATCCACATGGTGGTTGAAAATTTCCCTCCTTTGGAACACGGAGCCCTTATTTTGAGGCAATTCCCGCGTTCTCTGCACAATTTTCTTCTCCCCTACGGACTCGCGTCCTCTTCCACGACGCAGAAGCGTGGTTACATTCGCGCAGAGGTAGGGGAAAATCGGGGAGAAACACTCGTGTTTTCCAAGCCCCATCATGTTTTTGAAACAGCCACAGGCCGCCACAACGAAGACCGAGTCAGCGAGGCCTGCGCGATCCTGGAAGTTGCTTTGAGGAGAGAACGGAGAAGAATGGGGTTGCTCGACCCCAAGCCGATACTGGCGCGTGGGAGACACCCTTCCCTCTGTTGCCGGATTGGCACTGGGGCCACCGAGGCCCGGACTAAAGTCGTGCTGGGCTGGGAGCTGCAGAGGCCGCTGGCTCACGCGCAATCTCGTGTGCGATGGAGGAGGCTCCTGAGTCAAGATAATTTGTGGGGAGAGTAGGGGAGCTGAGAAGCCTCTTTGGGGCAACTCCCCGCTCGATGTTACGGGCCTTGAGGCCCCGGCGGCCCCCAGCTGAGGGTGCAGGTTTCACAACCCGAAAGCAGCTGGGGCTGGGGAGGCCTGGCTGCGGGCGGCGGGGAAAGGCGACAAAGGGGAGCTGCAGCCCCGGCGTCAGGAGAAGGCGGCAAATGAGCCTTCTGTAGGGCCTGGACGTTTTCAACAAATTCTTAGCCCGGGCTCCGGCTCCCCAGAACTCTCGAGGAGCCTCGGGCTGTCGCGCTGGGGGCCCCCAGACCGCGGGCGTCCTTGGCAGGGCGGAGCCTTCCGCCCCTCCCTGTTGGGCGGCCTTCGGCGGTCCCCGTTCC